AAGGCAAAAGGAATTGGTTGGGACTTGGATTGTCCCCTTGGGAGATGCAGGTTGCTGGGATGCAGAGAATGCCCTCCCTCAGGCTGCCAAGATCTCTCAGTGCAGCGGCTTTGGCCGACAGGGCAGCACAAAGATTGTTCTCTGCGTGGGGCCCAGGTTTGGGTTCTGGTCTCAGCTTTGCAGGTTTGGATGAATTCTACCTCCAGCCCGCAATTCCCTGTCGAATTCCTGCTGGAATAGCCTCCCAGTGCCTCCTGGAGCCCGGATCTTCCCCTGCAGAGCTGCTGCTCTAAAGCCAGGTTTGCCAGGGAGAAGCCACGGTTCCAGGTTTGCTCAGCGGGATCGGGACAAGGACAGGTTGATGTTCCACAGACTTTGCTGTTTCTAACCCTCCTGCCCTGGCCCCGCTGGTGTCCCTGGGGGGACTTGAGCGAGTTCCCTGGAATTCGGCCGATTCTCCGCCCCGGGCCGGGCTCCAGGGGATGTGTTCGCCCAGGAAAAGGCGGGGGCCGGACGCGCTCCCGGCCCGGGGCGAGGCAGCCCCTGAGCACGGGCGAGGACGTCTCTCCGGCCGGGAAGCCGCTGTCCCTTCGGAGCCTCGGGAGCGGCCCCGGTAAGTTCCTCTCCCCGAGGAAAGGGATGCACATCCCTGCCTTCGGGGCACCTCGGCTCTGACCCACCTGTTCAATCTGCCCACGGGTTCTGCAGTTGCGGTTGGGTCCCCGAAAAACTGCGAATTGCATCCAACCCCAACTTCCTCCAAGCATCCCCTTTTCTTTTCAGGCATCTCCGAGGGCTCTGGCTCGGGATTTAATGCCGCCGAGGGCAGATGGCCCTGGCTTTAAGGCTGCTGCTGGCTGCTGGCCTCCGGCTGGAAGGGCAGGGATTTGGGGTGGGCGGGACACACGCGGGGGGCGCGGGGGAGCTCTGGGAGGTCGGCGCTGGGAATGGCTCCCGTGCTGCTCTGCAGCCCCGCCGTGCCGACACTGCCGAGTGCCAGCTGGATTCTTTGGGTCCTTCGGGGCTGGTGCTGGGGCGTGTCCAGGGTGAGGCATCTCCGGGTGCCCGTCCAGAGCAGCCCCGGCTGAGGAGCCGCGGGCAGCCCTTTCTCCGTGCCCACCGCAGTGCCCGTGGCCCGTTCCCACCCCTGGGATGTGCGTTTGGCAGACGAGCCCTGCTCGGGAGGCAAATCCATCTTGTTGCCGATGGAAGCGCTGGCCCGGAGCTGCTCCATCCCTGCTGCCACGAGCTGTGCTGGGAGTCCTGCGGCTGCGGGCGGGATCGCCTGAGCTCCGGACTCTCCGGACCCGAAAAGCGGCCCCGACCTGAGCCCCCCCCCGGCATTTTGGGTTCCGAACGCTCACCTGGAGGAGCCGCCCCCCCGCAGGCGGGACCAGGCGGCGACACTCGACCACCGCCTTTGCCTCGGAGCGAGGGATCCCTCCGGACTCGGTTGGCTCCTTTATCCCTGCAAATGAGCTCGGATGTCGCACGAGCACCTTTGCAGCCATTGGGGCCTTTGCACCTTTGCAGCCGACGGGGCCGGAAAACCTCCCTGAGCAGGGCAGTGATGAATTGGTGCCCGTCCCCAGCCGGGCACAGCCCAGCCGGCCGCGCTCCCTCTGGCCCGTGGCTGCGAAGGGCTCCTGCAGAGCACGGAGAGCTGCAGAGATTGAATAAAAGCGCATTTCCTGACTCGATTTCCCTGCGGTCCTTCCCTCCTTTGACTCGCGCGGCAGCGTCCGGTTGGAGCATTTCTTGGTTTCCTCTCCTGTTGCCGTTTCCCTCCCAGGCAGGACCTTCCCCGTCTGCAATTAAAGATGAAACGTTCCAATGGGATTTTTAAAAACCGGAGGGTTTGCCCCGGGAGGGTGCGAGTTGCCGAGGAAGCGGGGGAGAGGAAGGAGAGCCTCAGGTCTCACCTGGCAGGTGTCAGATGAGCTGCCCCTTAGGGAGGGCAGGGCAAAGAACTGCTGTCGGCAATTCCCGCAGTTCCGCAGGCAGAGCTGGGAGCAGCCTGTGCCCGACCCGCGGCGCGGTCAGTGCCAGTTCCTGGGGCTGCCTGAGGACAGACACAGGGACATGGGGACAGATAGGCAGCTCTGTTCGGGGTCCTGGAGCACGGGAGGAACGAGGAAAGGGCTGCCCTCATTCTTCCTTGCTCCGGCACGACCCCAGCTCCCCGCGGCCGGAGCGATCCCGTGGGCGGAGCCCCGGCGGGCCCCAGACCCCTCGTTCCCGGGGGACACTGCGGGAGGGAACCCCCCGGGGCCGCGGGGAAGGGGCAGGGGGACGATGTTCTCCCCGGGAGGGGCTGCGGTGGCCTCAGGGGTGCCCGAGCGCGGGAGCTCCGACCCCGCAGGGGGCGCGGGCAGCGCTGCGGGCCCGGCGGGATCGGGGGGTCCCGGGGCCGGCTCGGCGTGTCCCCGCATCCCGGCCAGTCCCAGCCCCGGTTCCGCGTCTGCACGAGGAAAGCGCCGCCGTTCTGCCCTGGCCGGGCCCCGGCAGAGCCCCGGCCCGAGCGGCCCCGCCGGGCTCGGCCCCAGCGCCCGCCCCGGAGCGGCTCCTCCCGCCCGCGGTGCCGGGGCACAGGACTGATCCCGGTCCCGGTGCCCGCCCTGATGCCGAGCCCCAGCCCAGCCCCAAGCCAACCTCGATCCTCCGGTGCCGATCCTGAGGCCGAGCTCCATCACCAGCCTCGCTCTCCGGTGCCGTCCCCGCTCAGCGGCCCGGGCTCGGCGCAGCGCCGGGAGCAGCCCCCGGGCCGGGGCTCCGGCCCCGAGCGCCGATCGCTCCCACAGCATCCCGGGACGAGTTTCCTCCCCAGCGGCGGGGCGGGCGCGGCTCTGCCGTTTTTGAGGGGTGCGGGCGGGGGGGGGCCGGGGCAGGGCCCGCACAGGTGCGAGGGGAGGGGCCCGTCCAGGTGCGCGGGGCGGGGCCGGGCGGGGGCGGGGCGGGGGGTATTTAAGCGGTTCTTTTTCTTTGCTTTTCTTTTTCTCTTTTCTTTTCCTTTTCTCTTTTCTGTTACTTTGTCCCCGTTCCTTCGTCCCCTCCCTTTCTCCCCCGCCCTACCTCCCACACCCTCTCCCCCCAAACTCCCCTCCTCCCTCTCCCTCCTACCCCCTCCTCCCTCCCTCCCCAACCCGCTCGTCCCCTGCGCCCCCTCCCTGCCCCGCAGGGGCAGCCCGACCCCCCCCAGCCCTCCTTGCTGCCCCTCCATCCTCCGCCCCCCCTGGCCCCCCAGCCGGCCTGGACCCGCTCCCTCTCCGGCCCCTGCTGCCCACCCCGCCCCGCCCTGCCCTCCTCCTTCCCACCCTGCCCTCATTCCTGTCCCTCCGCCCTGCCCGGCCCCGCACGCCGCCTGCCCCCGGCCCCTGTCGCTGCCCTCCTGCACAGCCCGGACCCCCGGACCCCCCTGCCTGCCCCTGCTCCCCCCTCCCTGCTCCGCTGCACACCCCGAACGCCCTGTCCCCCGCTCCGTCCTTGTCCCCCGCCCGTCCCGTCCGTCCCCCTGTCCCCCGGGCCGTGTCCCCGCAGCCGCGGGGTTGGGGGCGCCGCTTTAATAAAGCCGCGAGGGCCGGAGCCGGCACCCCCCCCTGTATCCCACCCACGGGGCCGGGCCCGCTCGGCGGATCCCCCCCCTGCAGTTCCCAAGCACCGCCCGACACCACCGGGGCTCCGGCCCGTCCCGACATCACAGGGGGGGCTCCGCGGGCGGGGGGCAAAGGGGGCGGGTTCGCTCTCGGCAATGGACGCGACGGTGGGTGGAGATGTGCGGGTCTATTGCCGAGAGCGACCCCGCGGACGGGGGGGACTTGGGGAGGGGCCCCCTCCGGAGGAGGGTGTACGGGGAGGGGGGAGGGAGAAGGGAGGGGAGGGTGGGGGTAGGGGGGTTGGGGGAGTGGGAGGGAGGGGGGGGTGGGAGGGCTGTGTGCGGGAGGGGGCTGTGTGCGGGAGGGGGCGTGGAAGGGCCCGTGCTCTGTGTGTGTGTGTACACTTCTGTTTACGGTTCAGACTGATGTGACCCGGGAGGCCTCCACCCCCCCCATCCCACCCTCCGCCCCCCCCGCCCTCCCTCCACCCTCCCACAACCCCCCTACCCCCACCCCTCCTCCCTCCCCTCCAACCCTCCTACCTTCTCCCTCCCCCCTCCCCGGGGGACATGTGCAAAACAAATGCTGGGGACTGGAACACACACCTTGCACTCCTGCAGCTCTTACCATCACAGTCAAGAGAAAACAGCCAATTGTACCATCACTGCTCATTTCTTCATAACAATCCCACATTTCTTTGGCAGTTGGAGCACCACTTTTATCACCCAATTACAGCCCATTAGAGAGCTCCATGTCTAGCAGGGACAGGTACCCCTGGGATACTCTCAGCAATGCCTGAATCCATTGCAGGGACCTTGCTTTGAGCTCCCCAGGGCCGGGCACCCCGAGGATCTCCCCGAATAATCCTTTCGGTGCGCGCTGGAGTCCTCGGGGTGCCCCAGCCCGGGGGGCACCAACAGCACTGTCCCTCCAGGGGGGCCCAATTTGGTCCCAAACTGCAGGGGGATCTTGCCTGTGTCCCAGACTGGTCTGGGGATCTGAGGCCCTTCCCGAGAAAATCTCGGTGCCGGCGTGAAGGCCCAGAGATCCCTTGGAGCCACGGGAGAGCAGGCACAGAGTCCCTGCTGGGGGCCAATTCTGCTGCCTGAAATCAGCTCTTCAAAGAAGCCTCTAAGACTCAGCTGGTGAGTTTTAGAAGCCAGGTATTCCTATACACTCTAAGATATTTTAGGAGCTTACTGAATGAAAAAACATAAAGCTTTTATCATGGACATCTGACCTCCAACAGACAGCTCCTTTCCCCTTTCCGTACAAAATTTTTTTCATGGAATCATTTAACAGGAAGTGCCCAGGAACCCCAGACTGTGCTTTCCAAAACAAAACATAAACAGAGGGAAAGAGCTTTGCACAAGTGTAACACGCTCCAGAACAGACCTGACTTTAGTTCTGCTCTTTGTGTTCAAATGTAGCAGACAAAAGCTTCAGCAGGAGAGCTGGCACATTACCCATGGTACCCTGAAAGTCCATTTCACGAGGGCTGTAGGAAAATCACAGCTGTACGAGTCCCTTGTGCCTGCAGATGCCTGGGGATCCTTTCCATCCGCCTCGTGCTCTCCCAGCAGGAGAAAGGGTGACCTCAGGGACATGGTGGTACTCGACATCCTGCTAAGAGAGCAAGGAAACCTTTAGCATAAAGGTGGGTTGGAATCTAAAGCTTCCTTTCCTGGGAGCTTTGTGAAGTTTGCAAGCAAGAGGGAGAAAATTTGCATCTACTTTGGTGCAGGTGTCAACAGAGGCCAATAGAGCTCTTGCCTTTTTCAGACAACTGCACCCTTTTTGGCTCCCTGGCAGCTCCAATGGCACCAGAACCCCCTTCCTGCACACCCACGGGTGTCACACACAGGCACCCACACACCTTTGCTCCAGCCCACACGTGGCCAACATTTCCTCACCTTGGACATCCCAAGGGGAGTATTTTTGCTAGAGAGCACAGCAACCACCTTGTCCTTGCAAACTGCCTCCCTGCAAAAAAGGAACCAGTTCTCCTGGATATTTTTTCAACACTCCAGGTCTTTTGAAGCTGCTC